GTAGGCTGTAGCAAAGTGAGTGTCTTAGAACTGCTGTTGACACACAAACAGCGCAGCCTGTTGAGCAACAGCTGACTCTCAGGGGGGCATCGAGCGAGGGTCCTCGTTGCATTCTGATGAACACCCATTGGGATGAAAACGGGAAAACTTACAAGACAATTTGCATATTGCATTGAGCACTTTCAAGACCGTACGAAGGCCGCGATGTATCTGCCTGGGTTTACCACCGATAACCATAACCATTTGTTATCCAGGTTTCGCAGGATATAAACTGCAAGTGATTTCAATATTTCCTTCATTTTAAGGTAATTTAGTTTAGCAAGAGCTGCACGTTAAACAAAACCTTAACGAAGTTACAGGTTGTTAACTCGGTCGCCCAGAAAACCAGTTTTTCACGCCCTCAGCATAAGCAACAGCCGTGGATGCGGGTGTGCCTGCAGCAGTCCGTCTGATCTCCTTCTCAAGCGTTGGTCCCGCTCCATCCTGTTTTTCCTTTTTTATCGTCTGTTCATGACCATGGGACCATAGGATCCAAAGCGCTTTGCTGCTGCTGATTTGCTTTACCTCCAGTCAATATTGACCAAGCTGCCCCATCCCCCCTCGACCTCCCCCTCCAGCACCTCAAAAAAACCTGCTTAAACTTCAGAAATCTGTCAGGTCACCAGCCATGTGACTGGGGCCATGTGCTGTTAGAGCTGAGGAGTGACTGAGCCCAGGGGCCCATAGTAACTGATGTGCTCCAACCCTGACAACCCCACGATCTTTGACCCCCACCTCCCCTCCTCCCCCATTCTCTCATCAGTCATCGTCCGTCACCCTGTGAGAGACAGAGCTGCTTTTGTGTGCCCGCGCGGGGACGGACCTCAGCTGCTTCTTCTCAGTTGGCGAGCTCGGTCTGGACACGTCACGGCCATTTTGTAGTTGTCTGTTTTTAAGATTAGGGTACATGAAGTGAAAGACTCTTTGTCAGCCGGCGGAAGCAACGATTAGATTAAAACGCCAGCTGAGCCGTTCTCCGCGTTCGCAACTGTCTGCGTCGCAGTTTCAGCCGCTGCAGGAGCATCTTAAAACGCGGCACGATAACGCTTTCCTTTGCTCTTTTATCACAAAAAGCAACAAGATGAGACAAAACTAGATGCTTTAACCCCGAACTGTTCTCAGATGAGGACACAACATGCTTGATGGAGAGATCACCATTGTGTAACGCCTATTTCCACCTCCCATTGGAAGGGCCGGCCCTCTCTTTGTGCGTGCGTGCGTGCGTGCGTGTGTGTGTGTATGTGGCGACGGGCTTTGTTGTCCTGTGAAGTCATGCATTAGGGGATAGCTTAGCAGTCGCCGAGAGCAGCTTTTTCTTTCTTTCTAATTACAGCACGGCCTGGTCCCGCAAGAGACCATTGTGCCAGGGTGCTGTGAGTTCCCACAATGGGGAGAACAATGACTCAAATTCCTGACTGTTCCCAGCGGGTTCAGAGGCCGTGCTGACAAACAGAGGCAGCGGAGTTACAGTGGCTTTGCTATTCCACACCCAGTAGCTTTCCCACTGGTCTGCCCAGTGGGGGTATTGGTTTGTGATTGTGTGTGTGTGTGTGTGTGTGTGTGTGTGTGTGTGTGTGTGTGTTGCAGGGTGGCTGCATGTCCTGCTGGGAGCACAGGCAGGGGTTGAAAGATGGGGGGAGGGAGCTTGTTTGGTTCTTTCTGTTGGAGGTGAACGACTCTCTGCTGTGTTCTGGTGTAATCAAACCCCTGAGAACCAAAACGTTGGCAACTAAAAGCGGCATTGAAAGCATTGTTGATCAGAATTGATCACAGATCAACACTGGACTTGTGTAAGACTCCATGTACGGACCCGTTCCGGTGACTGCGTCATCCCGCAAACACGGTGGGTCCCGAGCTCTCACGCACTCGGCCACATTCGACTCAATCTGCTGTCTTTGTGCGTCTGTGCAGATGGCCGATGTCGAGATAACCCGGCCATTTGCAATCGGAAGAGTTCTGCTGTTTACGCTGCCAGAAATGTGTGCTTACACAGCCTTTAAGTAGGCTGCAGAGCTCCACGGCCACCGACGAGGGCCGGGGGCACTTGTTGCATCCAGACTGGACCAGCGTTCTCGCCTTCCCAGCTGTTCAGAAATATGCCTTTGTGTGTGTGTGTCTGTGTGTTAGTGCGTGTACGAGTATCCATTTTTACCCAGAAACTGTTGCGTGGATAACCCGTTCCTCTCCTAATCACTGTTTACTGAATGGGAGCTGGTGGGTGGTATCGAAGACCCCACAGTGAACAACAGGTGCACCACTGAGTATCTGCCAGTCAACTCTTTTCTATGGTTTATTGGTCACAGATCCTGTTCAGACGCCCTCCTCGTCCTCAAGGAAGGGCTTGTTTAATGTGCGATCACTGGGACTTTAATCATTAAATTAAAACAAATCGTTTTTTTGTGCAGTCGACAAACTCATCGGTGGTGGGAACTTTCCTTACAGACTAAAAGTCCTAATTAAATTTTCATAAACCATACAAATTGTCACATTGGAGAAGCTGGAATAAGACACGTGCTCGCTAATGACCTATTCAATTCTAAAAATGAATGTTTTTCCAGCCATTTGGAAATCTGGCCGGATTCGACATCGACGCTGCCACAGTCGCACCCACTTGCTTTGGTTCGAGGGAATTCGCCAAGTGGTTCACAGGGGCCATTAAACTCCTCAGAAAGTGTTTCATCCCGTGCAGGCTTTTAAAAAAGCATTCACACAGTCGCCTCCCCCCCCCCCCTCCCCACCACCTTCTTTGCTCAATTCACAAGAACGTGACACTCCATCTCCTTTACTGGTTACTCTACCTATTTTAATGAAAATTGATAGTTTCACACACGCAGACCACAGCTGTCGCTGGTCCAGGCCTCATAAATGGTTTATAAGCCCCACTGTAAGGACACCCTGCTTTTATTCAGAAGGTGTCAGCGGATGGAGCCCGGAGAGAAAGACGACCCTTCTTCCACCTTCTTACGGCCCCTGAATTCAGCGGGGGGAGTAACGCGTTTCCTCTGCAGTGCATAATCAGCGCTATGCTCAATCGCTTTTTAAAGCAGTTACAGTTGTTGAAACAACTCTACGCTAATGCAGCTCAGTTTGGACACTCGAGTGACCCGGCGCTTCTAAGCTTTCTGAAGTCAGACGTCTAGGCTGCATTCGTCAGGCTGGCGCCCTTCAACAGGATATGCCTTTTTAAACACAGCAGAGAGGACCCCCCCCCCCCCTCATCCTCCTAATCCAAGTCTTTATTTGTATCTGATGGCATTAAGACACTGGCCCAGTGTTTGTTTGTTTGGCTCGTGTTGGGTCCGTTGTGGGTCGGGCCAGTTCACTCTCTCTAAGTCTTACAACGTGTAGAAGATCCCCTCGCTTGTTGGCCAGTCGGGGGTTAAGCTTAAAATTCTCCGAAGCTTAGCGTGCCAAGGAATGAGAAGAATCCGATGAGCGTAACCGGACTTGACTCGCGGAAGCTAATGGTTAACAACCCATAATGGAATCTCCCTTCAATTCCGCCGAGGTGACTTTCACTCTCAGATATTTTTTTTTACGGAGGATCAAAAATGTTTTCAGGGAGGGGAGGGGGGGGGAAGCCTCACTGGAACACTGGAATTTGAAATGAATTGAATGGAGACCTATGTAGGTAGTTTGAGCCCGAGGGCAACACAATGCAGCATGTGTGGTGGTACTGTGACAGTTTATACCAAGCCTGCAGTACTGGAATGGTGAGGAATCACAAGACATCTCCTCCTGTTATTTCTTTTGATTAGCTTTGTTAGCACTGCAGCCTGTGACGACAGAACAGAGAACTGTGATAAAAAAGTAGAAGATATTAAGGTCAGCACTCGTTGAAACTGGCGGAGCAAAATCATTTTCCCGGCTGATAAACGCAACGTCATATCATGTTTATTCAGCATTTGACTACCGAGATGCACACGCAGATTATAGCCTTTGCATACTCTCCGTTACACATGTAGAGACTGACTGTCACAGATGCGTGAGGGGCCATTGACCACGGAACACACGCAGCGACTCCTCAACCAGAACTCCTCATTTCACACAGAGGCCGTCGTCTGTAGATGAGTTACGGTTTCCTGGGGAGGGAAAAAAAAAAGTACTTTTTGTGACTTTAATGTCAAACTGAAAATGTATTAGCGAGAAAAAAAAACCTCTCTCGCCATTATTTGTGAGTTTGTGTGTGTGTGTGTTTGTGCACACTCACAGCGAGTGTGTCTTTCAGAAAAGCGGGGCACAGGGCCATGTCTCTGCAGCTGCCCCCTCTCTGTGCGCTCTTTGATGGGGAGGAAGATGCCGTTGACTTTTGCACACACACACACACACACACACACACGCGTGCACACACAGTTTATATGTGGCAGTGCACTGTATATACTTCCTTCTGCAGTATCAGAAGAGCCTGTTGCAGTTCAGTACACCCTAGATTCATGGGAGTCACGTCCTCGTATGTTCCACGACCAAAGCCGTTGGAAGTGTGACGCTCATTTGTTGTTGGAGAGCCTCCTTAACGTTGGCACAATTTAAAAGGCTTACAAAAACCCCCCCCCCCCCCCCCCACACACACACACACACACACACACACACCCCCACGCTCACAAATATAGCCATCCATTGTTTAACCAGCCCAACGGACTAAAAGGTCCCAACCGTTACTGTTTGTGGTGCGTTTGTCTAGGAAAGATAGCGGTCCCACCTGTTCCTTGTGTGCACTCTACCTACATGCATGCACACACGCGCACGCACACACACACACACACACACTCTCTATTTGGACACTGGCTGAACGACTGTATCCACCCTTCTTATTAGTTCATGTCGATTAAAAAAAAAATCGACATGAAAAATGGCTCCTGAAAATGACGGTTAACGTGAACCGTTTATAAAAGAGCAGACCGCTGTGTATTTTTCACGTAGTGAATCCCTCTAATCTTCAACCCGTGTGTGTGTGTGTCCAGGTTTGGACGACAGCCTGCAGCAGTATGTCAGCAACTTTGAGCGGGAGAAGATCAGCGGAGAGCAGCTCCTGAAGATCACGCATCAAGACCTGGAGGAGCTCGGCGTGGCCAGGATCGGACACCAGGAGCTGGTGCTGGAGGCCGTGGATCTGCTCTGCGCTCTGGTCAGTGGACCCAATGTGACGCGTGTCCAGATCTAGATGTGACTAGATGTCTTCTGGGGAGGTTGTGTAAGAAAACTGGCGCTCTCTGGCGGTCTGTGTCCCTTCCCCTCGTCCTCAATGTCCCCTTCCACTGATAAGAAATAAGAAAACGGCCTGTGGCGTCTGGTTCGGCGGCTGAAGGAACCAGCGATGCAGAAGGGCTGGTGATTTCCCACACAGCTCAGTGGGCCTGAGGACGGGGGGGGGACACACACACACGCCAGTGTCACTCGCAGAGAGGAGAGGTCGGGCTAAAGGGGCCTCGGGCTCCATTTTGGCCGTTTCGAAACCTGCGCGAGCTTACGGGGGCGGTGGACGGTCGCTGCGTTGCAATAGGTGGCAGTTTGATCAGATAGATAAGAGTCTCTGACGCACGCTGCATACATGCAACTGTGAGGTACATTTGCTTTAAGGGTCTGAACAGCCAGTGTTACTGCTGCAGCCATCTTCTCACCTGAGAATATAGACCCCTGCATTCATCATAGCCCCGAAAAGGATCTGCCAACAAAACAAAACCATGTCTGCCTTCGACTAGCGAGCATGAAAAGAGCGATGAAAACCGTCCACGCTGCCCGCTGAAAGCGAAGCAGCTTTTCCAGCAGATGGGATTGATTTGGAGTTTTAGCACTTCCTGTGCCATAAAAGCCCCAGATTGCGGTGCCGGCGTTTTGATCAGAGTCAGCGTTTCTGCCTTTACGCTCTCTTAAAAGGCTTTACATTAATCGTTTGGGGCACCCTTTTATTTTTATATTGAAGAAACTTGGAAAATCTCTCTCCAACACGAGGCGGCCTCTTGCAGATGTGAAAGATTTGGGTTTGGTTCCAACAATCTTTGGGCCCTCTTTGGATTCATTTAGTCAGTGATCTGCCTCGTGGGCACACTGAAAGCATGCATGTTTTTTTGGCACACACGTGAGCTGCTCTGCGCATCCACAGGTGCCTTTTCCTTGTTCGGATGATAGATTTACTCATCTTACAACAAGTACCACATGGTACATCTGGTGGGTCATAACCTCTTCTACCACCATGGAAATCAGGCCCAGACTTTTATTCACCCCGAGAACCTTGACATCATGGCAATGAAATCTCAAATCATTTTCCTCTCCTGGCCTCCACAGTGCTTCCTCACCGTGGTGCTTGTTATTTGAAGTAAACCCCTTTTCCTTGCATGTGAACGTCAGTCTCCCTTTTCTTTAAATGCACTGTTGCACTGTTGGTGTGTCTACCGTGTCAGTGTGTGTTTTATATGCCCCCCCCCCCTCTCTGTCCCTTGGAACTTAAGGAATGCTGGACTCTCTTGTCCTTTCGGGGTTTCCTCATTAAGCAGGAGCCCGTGGCCTTCCACAGGTCCCGTGGGAGGAAGTGAGGCCCCCGATTCAATTAACTTTTTACCGAGGCAAGGCCACTACTACCAAAAGGAACACAGGCCACCATCTCCCACAGAAGCCCCCCCCCACCACCCCCTTCTCTCATTTTGTTCACTGTAAGGTCAGACTCCTCCTGTTGCTGCAGTCACATTCGTCTTTCGTCTCTTCCCCATGATTCGTAAAACCAGCATGTGCACGCATTGTAAAGACTTCACCTCTTATACATCAGGGACCTGAGCGGTCCTCTTAGCAGTCTCAACCCAATGTCCCACGGCCGATGGCCTAACACACAACGCCACAGACCTGCAGGAAGCATCGATTCTCAGCCGAAAGAACATTCTCAGCGGAGAGAACATTTGAATTCATTGTGCCGGACTTCTCTGAGCCGCGGTGTCGGCGTTGAAACCCAACACTTCTTCGTTTGTTCTCGGACCCCGGCAGCCCACACAAAGACCAACACGCATTAAACATTGAGCGTAGAGTATACGACATCTGGCCCTGTGAGCCACAGAGCTGCTGTAAATGTAATGTAGCATTGCCTCGGGGGTTGTTCTCTATCCCCAGTTATAACGTAAGGGCTAACCTTGGATGACACATTATAGCAACAGATGCACAGACTCGGGCTACGGTACATACTTTTAGATCATTGTCGAGTCAGATCCATGTCAAGCGTGTGGCAGGAAGTGCCGTGCTGTGCTAGCCGTTCTTTGTTTTCTCCCGAGGGCACTTAATCGAGTGTCCTCGGTCCCTTCAAAGAGCCTCGACTAGCGCTAACAGAAATAGCTTCTGCCGTCTTGATTCTAGATTAACTAAATGTCTGTTAAAAGGCTCTGAAAGAATGTAAATTTAGCTTTAAATGCTCTTATGAGGGTGAAAAATTGCGTTTGACTGGAAGCGCACGTTTTTGCCTCGGACGCGGTCAATGGCTGCGCAGTGTGGCTCTGGAGCTCGCCAGACATCTGTGGGCCAGTTAGACCCGCTGTGACTGTGTGACTAGCCTGCTGATGAGGAACCCGGGAGAGGCTCACAAGGCCTCTGTGCTACAGTGACTCAATGAGAACCCAAACCATCACATGGTCTGGTTTCTTCTCCCCCCCGAGGATGTCTGTGTACCTTTTTAATGACGTTTTAACAATCCATTTCATGTCTGTGCCACGGGGGAGGCAGCCTACAGCTACTGTTTGACTAGTCCGGTGCTTCCTCGAGGATTGACTGTGTGGATTTGCATATTTCTTTTGAGCTCATTGTTGGATCGACGCAGTGGAAAAAACTAGGCCCCAGTGAGCAGTTCCCAGATCCCAGACGTGTGTCGTTTTACTCCTCGCTATGCATATTTAGCTACTGGCACATCGCACACGCTGGCGGCGCTGCGACGCCATGTAAGCCAATATTTTCCAGGACGGCCGGCCCTTTTCTGCCCCTTTCTTTGCTCACCTTTTAACCAACGCATTAGTCCCGAACCCATTTGTTCAGTCAAAACACTGCAAACACTTTACAGCAAGCGCTTTAAAGTGTTTATCAAGTGCGCGCGCACAGACAAACACGGCGGGCTGCGTTGCTACATAGCCGGCTTTGCAGAGCTGCGCTCCTTCATGCCTCCTGAATAATCTACGTATCAGAGGAGGGCAGAAGCAGGAAACGGCCCCCCCCGGCTCAAGAATGCAAACTTTGATGGGGATCAGGCAATTGAATGGGCACACGCCTCCAAACAATCCTCGGGACTGGAGGCGGAATTTTAATGCCAGAGCTGTTCTCGCAGACAAGGGCACTTAAATAATGTACGTCAAATACATGATTACAGCTCTGCATTGTGCAGGAAACAACACGCTCTCCGGGTAATGGGACGCCACTGTTGGAGGACTCCAAAAAAACAAGCGCCTCCCAGGTGTTTCGGAGGGGTTCGCTTGCTTTGATCTGGAGTTCAATTGGAAAAAACGGCTGTAATTTTGCCTTCAATCATGTATTCACTTCCCCGCTTTCAGAACCATGGGGTCGAGACGGACAACTTGAAGAGTCTGGTGGTGAGGATGAGAGCCGCCGGCAACAGTCTCCACGCGGCCACGTCGGACCGCAGGAAAAGCCCCGTGTACGACGGCAGCATCTCGCGCAAGCCGCCCAACGACTTCCTCACCTCCGTGGTCGAGCTGATCGGCGCCGCCAAGAGCCTCCTGGCGTGGCTTGACAGGTGATTTGGCTTGACCTGCCCGTGCGAGTCGGATCAGGCATCAGAAGGGCATGTGACTACTGCGAGAGGACACGGGCATTTGTTTATCTGTTATTCTGTTTTCGTGGCGTGCTCCGCTGCGTCAGTTGATGTCATGATTTAAATGGCAATTTTCATTTTTCAGTAAGAGCAGTGTTTAAAAGTGCTGTAATTACATCTGTGCAGCTCACATTTATAATAGTTAGTTGTGTGCATATGTTTTGGGTGAAGAAAGTGTTGCAAAAGAGGTTTGCAAACAAAAGTATTGTGATTTACTCCACAGTAAATCACTGCAGATCACTTTATTATGTACAGCAGTAAAATTAGATGCAATCGCGTACGACATTTGTTTCTTAACGTTTTTTTCACACTGAGATGTGTTGATCTAACGTCACGTTTATGCCGTCCCTCGCCGGCTCCTAATGTTCTCCCTTACCTCCCTTTGTCTGCTCGCAGGACGCCTCTCATCGGGATCAGTGACTTCACGGATACCAAGAACAAGATCATTCAACTTTGCCTGGAGCTCACCACCACGGTTCAACAGGTCTGCGCGCTAGTTACCTCCGCAGCACATACGCATGCTTGCTCCCCCCCGGGGGGAAACGCGCAGACAATAGTTTTTGTTTTTCCACCCGGCGCGTACCGGCCCAGGGGCACAGACATGCGAGATAAAGTGTTGGAGAAGAGAGTTACGGGAAATGCGGTCTGGCTGCCGCGGCAGCAGCCTGAAGCCAGCAGTCTGAGCATGTTATTGCAAATGCTGATGTTTTTGCTGGGATCTTTTTCTCTTTTTTTTTTACCTCGTGCCGGCTAATGAGGAGGCCCCCTCAGTGCAGGGACTTTTAATGGTAACCGTGGCTTTTGTCTTTCCAGTTTCATTAAAACCCACTGCCGCTGTCTTTTAACGGGCGGCCGCTGACAATTCCCCGGGCCGCCGTACACTTTCAGCCATGTGGTTGCAGTTCTTGCTCCTCCCCAAGACGCTCGCAGCGGGAAACCAAACTGTCTGGAAGCGCTTCCTGTGCGTTGGTTTAACGCAGGGACGAGGCGAAGCTCTATCCGACAAGGAGCATTGGGTCCCTCGGCTTTCTGCTCAGTGTTGCGCCGGCATTGCGTCATGACACGTGATACAAAGCGGGTGTCAACTTCCGTCATCCTCATGCGACCAAAAGTGGTTGGTCATATGTTTTTAACCAAAAGGGAGCCGGGGAGCGGCCTTTCCTTGGGCTTGAATGTGCAATTTGTTCTCCCTAAAGGGTTTGACTTACGCAAAGCCCGCTAAGCGACTCCTTCCTAAGCTGCACAGACTGCAGGTGTCATTTTTAAGGGGTTATTGCATCAAAATAAATTCCTTTCCCCAGAGTGCCCATTTCCTCGCTGGAGTCTGGGATTTCAGCGCCTCCTGGTGATTTCCCGTGGGATTCTCGTTCATGGTTTTCCAGGAGTGTCTGTCTTTTGTGTGTGTGTGTGTGTGAGGGGGTGTGGGGGGGGGGGGGGGGTATATGGTTTCCCACACTGCCCTGTGAAGTGAAGAGGTTATGGTGTAGAATAAACTCCTGGTAGGTGCTGAAAGAGTCTAGTAAGGCTGGGGAGATTAGTTCCCTCCAACAACTGGAGGAGGGATGCAGTTTGGCCTTTCCGCTCGTATGCAACTGGAGAAAACACGGAGGAGGAGGCGACTTACGTCCAACTCATTACATCCTTCAAGTGTCTGAGCTGACAGGCTCTTGGCTTCCTTTGCGCCCTTCTTTAGACCATCTATACTCCCCTTTGTTGCGTAGGCCAGATATTGAGCCACTGGTTAATAGAATAGATTGTGCAGGAAGACTGGTTTTATGATGGGGGAGGACGGTGTGAGGTTTGCACGGCTCCTTCATGAACTTCAGCCAAGAATCAGGGCTTTTCAGATCACACGATTTATGTGTTCTGCATGAATGAAGCCTGTGTGCACACACACACACACACATACACACACACAATGGGACACAACCATAAAACTGTGAGCGCGTCCAGGCTGACCCGGCGGCATGGAAGTCGTTCTCTTTCAAAGAACGCACTTCATCGATTCCCTCCTTACTTTGTTGGTTTAGATAACTTTATATCTCTTCTATTGCAAAGAAAATACTGCACTTCATCAAATATATTCAACAACATAAAAAAAGATCAGGTCTTCACTTCAGCGCAGTGTGAAGGCACTAAGCCGGCACTCTTCTCCCTCGACCGCTTCACTGCTCGACCAGGCAAATCCGCTCTGGTGGCCGATCAAAGGCCCACGGAGCAGCACACGGGGAGTCATCTGATCCTCGGCGGCTGTGGGAGCGAGTCCACAACGCGAGGGATCAGTACACCCGGGGAATTGTGCCTCAGCCTCTGCTAGAAGCACTTTGGTTCAAAACAAAGATGTATGTGGGATTCATCTGGATATCACGCACAGATCTGAGAGGGATCATCTGCGATTATTGCATGCACATGTTTTGGTGGTACTGCGAGACCAGAGAAATGTTCAAACTTAACGGGAGGTATGCCGGGCCATGTCTGCAGCACACACAGATACTGTTGTTTCCACGACCTCTAAACATTGAAAATGTATTTTTAGCTCATCCCTCTTGGCTCAGTCAACAGTGCAGTCATCCAGGGGCCGGTCTCTAAAAGAAATGTGCAGTAGCTGGTTTACAGAAGCATAACCAAATGCTTGGCTGAAGAATGTATTGTAGAACTAATATGTCAAATGAATTCAAACCAATTATTGTAAGTGTGTAAGTCGCTTGTTTATTATTTTACCAAAAGAGATTAGACGCACAAAAGAACAGGCTCTCAAACGCAGTTTGAAAAATCGTACTTAGGCAGCCTCGGATGTGAAAGCATCGCTCGCGGCGACGGGCCGTCGTCTAGAACCTTTCCAAGGCAAACAAACCAACAGCGTGACAAGCCGAGCGCATTCTGAAAACAGACGCTCCCCCTTCAGCCCGGCGGAATGTGCGAGCTACGGAAAATATGGGAAAACATAGTCGACCTCCCCGTTCGCTGTCTGCACAATGGATGTTCAACGAGCAACAGAGCCGGCTTTGTGCGGCGCGGCGCATGTCGCCGCACGCCAGTAACGCTGTTGAGGGCTACAGCGCCGATACCCCCTCTGTTACTTTTTGCACGGTGGGGCCTCCGGAGAGACGAGAGACTTGTTGACGTCGATCTTCTTGCGCCCTCTCGTTATGACAGAAGCACTTCGCCTGTGTTTTCATGGATGGCCTCCCTTCCTTGGGGCATGTCCAGGGTAAAGCCACTTTCAGGCCCCCCCCCCCACCAGAGCCCGCCCACACCCCACCCGCCCTTAGCTGAAGCAGGGCCCAGTTGTCAGGGGAAGCTGTTGCCTCAGCTGTGGTCAGTCCAGCTGCAGCCTACGAGTGCCGTGCCGGGACACGTGGAGGGGACGGCGGAGAGGCTGGACGGACGGACAGACAGACGGACAGCTGGCTTTGCTGATTTTTGTTTTTGGATCCTTCCCACAAACCACCAGGATCACAGCTACTGTGCTTCTTTGACTTCCAGAGACCTCCACTAGCTGTGATGAAGTCAAATATTTGCAGAAAATCATACCACTGAATATCTCAAAGGCTTTCCACCTACTTTATGAATGTCGATCGGGTTTTCACGGTTCAATATGTTTCACTAAACCTTATATAGGACCTTATGCAATTACAGCGTCCCCCCAGAATTCAGGCAAATAGGTGGTTTGAATTGTTTATTTGAGGCTGTTCTACATACTCAGGTCTATATGTGGAATGCTGATTACATCGTATTTACCCGACCTCTATACTTTCTTCTCCCCTGTTGTTTACTGCTCTGGAGCCTAATCTGTCATCACTGTCCTCTCTAACAGGACTGCAGCGTTTACGAGATGGAAGAGAAGATCCTGGAAGTTGTAAGTACACTGAATCTCTTTGCTATGCTTCTCCTAATGTAAACTACACGAAACCCCGAGATGGTCCTACATCTGTGGGGCGAGGTCCAACCGGGTAGGCGGCTCTCATACGCCCCCCCCGGCCATCAGTCAGTGTTTCCTGTTCCTGGCGCTCTACAGAAACGAATACTGGGCTTCCTCCAGCACGTCGTCTCTCTCTGACAAGCCAATTAGTTTCCACTTGTGTCACGCTCACCTCCTCTACATTAAGTGCTCAAAACAAAATGCATGTGCTCGAGAAGAGACCCAATTCTTATCACAACAAACGAGGAACCGCACGGAAAGGAGGTTGAGTTTTGTGTGTGTGTGTGTGTGTGTGTGTGTGTGTGTGTGTGTGTGTGTGTACTGGAACTTCCAGTTAATAGCACACTATTGGTCCCCTATAAGGCCAAACTGTACAACACGGGATGGTTACAAAAGGCGCAGTATGCAAATATGAGAATATTTAGCGCAGCACTCCTCCCAGTGAGGAGTTAAAAGTATTGTGCTTCTCATCTCATCCCCCGATGACCTTTCTTTTGCCCTTTCCTCTGCAGTCTAAGATTTTGAACAGCATCTGCGATCAGACCGTGAGAACCACCTCTGACCCCCTGATGAGCCAGTCGGCCTGCTTGGAGGAGGTCCAGCTGACCGATATCAATCCGGGAGAGGGTCTGGTAAGCAATCCGCCCCCCCCCTTGCTTCCTCTCAATTTTTGTCTTCTGCGTTTGTAGGCCAGGAGTGCATGCGATGTGTGTCTAATTGTCATTCTCGCCGTCATGCATGTCTCACCCTACGGGAATATAATATTTGTACTTTTTTGCCACAGGGGATGTACATCAAGTCTACCTACGATGGGTTACATGTCATCACAGGAACGACAGAACATGTGAGTATGACAACATGCTGACCTCAACTTTTCTTATAGTTTATGGTCATTGTGGAACTATTTTTTTTATTAGCACATCTTACTATTCCCCTTGCGCTCGTCCTCTTTCTCATCTTCCTCTTCACCCTCCTCCTCCTCCACCGCGGGCACAGAGTTGTCTGAGGGAGTTAAGAACTGCTGATCCGTACAGTGAATTGTTAGTCATATTTATCGATATTACCGCAGTGCAGAAGCCTCCGCTGCCTCCACAAAAAGACGTCCTACCTATTCCCACGCCGAGACAACCAGTCAGTGACTAATGCACCAGCATCACTGCCACGGTTGGATCCTCACGCCTCTGGTCCTTAATTGTGAATCAGGGCCCTGAATCATCGCCATAACGACTAGTTAATCCTGTTTGACATCCGTGTGACATGGAAAACAATTCAACTGATTTTCGTACACGGAGAGAGTGTTTGTGTTTTCTCCCATATTGAGCTCAGAGTGTTTGCTCAACAGATATTTGCTCTTTGAAAAGAGAATTTCAGAGGCAGACAGTTGAAACCAGACAGGACCGGCTCTAAAGGAGCTCAGATTTCTACCAGGTCTAAACAGTTGAGTCGATGAAAGCGGTTTATCCGGCTTTGACCTTTTACTCTTTCTTTAGTCCCCTGCAGACATGACCAGAAAGATCCATGCAGGTGACGAGGTGATCCAGGTCAACCAGCAGACAGTGGTAGGAACCTGTTTTGTTGTTTCTTTGAATAATACCATAGTATCTGTGGTCAAACATGTTTGATACTGTCTGTTTGAGTTCACCCTGTGAGGGTCAATGAGAAACTAATGGTGTGTTTTGTGCTGATCCTGCTAACCAGGTGGGCTGGCAGCTGAAAAACCTGGTCTTCAAACTGAGGGAGGACCCCAAAGGTGTGGTTCTCCTCCTTAAGAAGAGGCCCACGGGCATAACCGGTTTCACCCCCGCCCCCCTCAAGAACATGCGCTGGAAGCCCCCGGTACAGCAGGTACATGCACACGAGCACACACTCTTCGTCCTTTCATTATGGAAGATCAACAACAGCCTTTGCATCTAGTCATTGTCGACCAATTATCAGCTTTTTAGGGAGTTAAATCTAAAACAGCAAGTTCAGACAAGTGTCACAGAGCCACTCCGACTGGCTGAATCAACCCTCGGAGGTTTTCTTCAAGCACAACACCAGAGGAAAACAGAGTCCCATGATGTCATTCGGTCGAGCTGCCAGCCAATTGGTTTCTAGAATTAAATTGCCTCAGATGTTGCCGTGTAAAGAAGACAGGACTTAAGATCATTTGGGTTCTTTTTTTTCTGTCTTTTGTTCAAAGAAAGGTCATGGTTAGCTGGTAAATATTTAGCTAATAAGTTCACATGCACATGCAATTTGTTGTTCTCCCTCACGTGAACACATTAGGCTTCACTTAGCTTTCAACCACATCCCTGCACCCGAGTCTCGTTTAACTAAAAGGGAGACAAGAGGACTGTTGTAAACCAACACCGCCCAATCTCAGGCTCTACTGTTGTCTAATCACAGGCAGCCTGTTTTATAGCCGGAGAAGATGAGAAGGTATCAGATAAGGTTGAGTCTCGCAAAACAACAGAGAGCCTCTTAACACAAAGGTGACCGGCGTCAACGTCATCAGCAGAGTCTTGTTTTAACAAGTCGTCGGGGGTATCAGAGTCAGACATCTTAGTTTATCCGAGATAAAGAGGGTTCCAGGAGGCAGAACGAAGACAAAGCGTTCACCTTGATTCGGCGACGGAAGAGATTTGTACACATGGACCAGGACAGGGGGAGGGAAGTGGATTCATTATGTGCCAAATGCGATGTTTAGTTTGTCATGAATATATCGCACCAACATCGTGTCATTTGGGTTTGAAAAGTAGTCCTGCGCCTCGTCATTGGCTCGATGCTGTCGGGTGTCTGGAGTCATAACTGTGGTAAACGAGTACAGTTTTTAAGTACATGTGTTGCTGACTATTTTTGTCTTTCCATACCTAAAAAAAAAAAAAAGCTTTCTTACTGCAGGAGACACGCTCGGGCACTTAAATGTCTCACCGCATGTGGTAAACCCCTCCCAGGGGCCCGCGGAAAGCGACGACTTCATTCGTTTTTTCGGCCGGGACCTGACGTTGATTCATCGTGTTGTATTTTTCAGAACAACTCCTCCCCGATCACAATCCAGTCCCCCTGCGGCTCGGCTAACGGATCGACCAAAAAGGAGAGGTCGGCCATCCTGAACTTGTACATCCCCCCTCCTCCTCCGATGCCCTACACCCCACGGTGAGCCGCCCCGGCTTCAATTGCCCACGCGTGAGCGGCCCTCGCTCTCCCCCTTCGCCAACTTTTGCCACAATCCCACACCTCCCGCCTGGGTTGATAACAAGTGTGTCCCGGAACCTGTGATCGCCTCTCCTCCTACTGCACATTCTGTTCTGCTTGTGTTCAGCCCACTCGGGTCCCTTACGCAACAGCTATTTCACCTTGCTGAGGAAACACGGCCACGCTCAAAAGGCCAGGGACTGATTGTTAATGGGGAATATATAGCATCTTTATTTAACTGGAATTACCAGCGTTTGCTCACTCACCTTCCTCCTGGTTGTACTGCTTCGGGCTTAACACTTTAAACGAGTGGGATGTGGTGTCGTGACGAATGAATGGGCGTTCGTTTCCCCCCCGCAGAGAGGAGAGAACGGACGCCTTCCGCAGCGTTAGTAAAAAAACGAAGGGCTCCGAGTCACCCAACTCCTATCTGGACCAGGAGAGCCGACGGCGCTGCACCATTGCAGATTACGACAAGCCGAGCGTCGGCTGTCCCATCGAGGCCAACGTGATCCTGCCCAGGCTGCGGGAGCAGAAGTCCTCGCGTGGTCAGTGGTTCTCATTTCAGGGAATCTTAGAAATATTCCACCAATGGCTGTTGGAGAAAATAATGACTTTAAATGAATGTGATTGACGGAACGTGAAACTCTCGCCTCCAGGTAAGCCCCGCCCCCTCTCCATGCCTGTGGACACCTGCCTCGGAGTGGTGGATCCCTACGCTAAGCCCTGGAACCAGGGGAGGAAAGGTAGGCACGCACCCGCTCTCACCTCCAGGGAAAACCCCCATGACTCTGTGTTTGTGGTTTGACAAGGATCCATTTTCTCACTCATTGTTCATATAAATTAAGAAGCACGGCACTCGGTCATCAGTTACCCTACGAGGGACTTTTGAGCACATTTAAGTTGTCAAGAAACTGAATACCATGAAATTATTACACATTCACTGCCAATGATGGTTAATTTCCATCCAATTATAATGGACAATTGACCATTGCCTGCATCAATTATATCACCTAATGAAAGATGTTTGAAATATTCTTAAATTATTAAATGCACAGAGGGAGGTTAGCTCCTCCGAGGCTTCAGGCTAGGCTAACTGCTTTCTCCAGCTAAATGTCGAGACTGCAAGAAAGCAAATCAGCACATTCCCAAAAATAATTAACGTAGGATTCATCCTAATACCAAGTGAATTATCCCTCCGCCTCAGGTGAGGACCTCCTGTACAGATACCTGAGCAACGAGAGGATCCCCACCATCGCAGAGGAGGTGCCCTCGGTGTCGCCGCCCTACAGGCCGGCGGGGGAACGTCACCTGGTCCGAGTGGACCGCATCAGGGGCAGCCGCTACTACTCCAACTCCGACCTCCACAACAGCGCCACCATCCCCTACCAGGAGGACATCAAAAAGGCCCCCGTCGGCCCCACCCCCAAGCGCGCAACGGCAGATCGCTCACTACTGGTCAGTTGGATCACGCGGCTTAAGCTATTGACTCACTGATGATGCGCTTCCTGTCCGGGGCTTCCTGTTCCTGTCTTTTGTCCTTTCTCAGTGCCTTTCGATTTTTTTTTTTTTTTTTTTTAAACATCCAGCTGTTTTTTATTCGTTTTTTTTTTAGCTTCCCGGCTTTTCTCACCCCCCCCCTACCCCACTGACCTCCATTTTTTCCTGGTGTCACTACTACTACTCTTCAACCAAACTGGCTTTAGTAGTACTCACTACGTCACCTCATCGCCCCTTTAACACTGCCCACCTCGTCTCTGCCTACAACTCCCAGTCGCTGCCTCAAGAAGAAACCGTTGGTTTGGATTTAGGATTCTGTGGACTCCTCTGTATCATATTCATTTTTGTCATGTTTCAGTTTAAAATGCTTTCTGGTACCGTTATTTAATACTTCAGAAAACTTGCCTGCTGTCACTTCAGCTATTTGCTTATTTTGATTTTAAAGTGCATAAATAGGTTATAGGAGTATAGCATGTGTTGCTGGTGAAAGTGTGCTTTTACTATACATGTTACTTTTACATGTTTTCTCAAATGACACTTTTGTGATCGGTTGGTTCCGTTGGCCTCGACCAAAGAGATTTCTATAGTCACTTGAGTTGACAAATGCTGCATCGGTTGGGGAAAGGATGTTTAAATTTTGCCACTGGCAAAACATTTTGCTGGTTTTAAAGATATGCACTCTCTATTTCAGTACACTTTTATATCCTGTGTTTCAGTTGACTGACCTAAAAAGGGCCTACGCACGCAGCTGGTTGACAGTAATAAATGGTCTTTGGGGGGCACACCGGTCAAATGGCCTTCTTAGGTCACAAGAGATGCAGTGACAGTATTATTTAAGAAAGCACGGGGGAAGAAGTGTCTGTTGTTGCTCAATCTGCCTTTTGTAAGTTTTGAATAGCGTTTTATTAAAAACTGCAGTTCATGTGAGTGATCTTTTGTGTCGTCTTTATTTTACCATTGGGTGTGGAACTATAACGGAGCACATGGGATGATGCTTTATTCAGATTCCAAAATGGGAGCGGAGGTCAGCTTCAGGGATTAATACAGGACCGGTCTACTGAGCCGGCGGGCTCTCTGACCCGCTGCGACCTTTGAGCTCAACCCTTCTTCTGTGTTTTTTTTTAACAACGTGGGGAAACCGGATAGCTGATGTCGAGTTACCTTTTTTCCCGTGTGTCAGATAGTCGATGGTTATGCAACCGCGCTCCTCTTTGATGGAGCGACCATATGGTTTTTTTCGGGGATCGGGGATCTTATTCCTGCACATATGTTGCCTTTTAAGCATTTAAAAGCCAGGTTAGGAATACTATGCCTCTCATTGATTTTCAATGTATACCTAGTAACGATCTGCAGCGACCCCCCGCCCCCTCCCACCCTCCACCCCTCCACCCCTCCACCTCTTTGTGCATGGACTCTACTAATGTAGATTGGGCCTCTCTTCTTATCTCTCCTCCACTTCCTGCTCAACCCAAGCTTGTCGAGCCGTAGTCGCCTGCGGTCCACACTAATTTGCGCTTTCTGAAAAACCTGTGGTCTAAGCCGAAACACTACCTGCACTCTGCTTAACCCTCTGCCAACCACTAACATCTCCTGCCTGCACATCACAAACGCTCACGTGGGAATAATGGGCTGAATTATCCTGTGTTATTGTTAACATACCACAACAGGAGATGTATGAATGTTTTGGTTTCCTTTTTTCCCCTTTTTTTTTTTACTTATTCCAGAGAATTTACAAGGCCACATTATAAATGATTTGTCTGCAAGATAAAAATGCTATTTGCCACGTAAAGTCATACGTTATGAACTTAAAACAAGTAGTGATCAAAATCTGCTTTGGAGGGAATGTTTAGTGCATCTCAGGGAGCCGAGCCCTTCGGATCCACCACACCGGCGTAGTCTGACTCCATCACCCGCGTGCGTTTAACACATTAATCTTTATGTATCGCAGGGATCCGACTGGCACTCTAGCAGTGACTTCCTCAACCGGTGAGTCCCTCACACACACGCGGACACACACACACACACACACACTGAGAAACATAACACCAGGTAGGGTCTAATTTTCCTGAAGGGAGTGACTGTGAGCGAGCCGTGGAATCCTTTTAAAACAAGCCACTGGGCGGAGGCTCAGAGAGCGGGGTGGGGGGGGGGGTGTAACGATCAGGGCGTCATACAGGGAGTTAAACGCTGTTACGATCCCGATCCCGAGGGTGTATCACTTGTTTAATGGAAGGTTGAAAAATTTTCACAGTGGATTTCTTAGGACCTGCAACACCTGTTCTACTACACAACAACAAGTCCCACACACCAATGAGCTCTCCCTTCGTTACGCAGCGTAATCTTTAGAAATCTCACCGTTATGACAAATCGTGACGCTTCCAACTATAAATAATCAGTCACCCGCTGCGAAACGCGGCAACATTCGAGGTCTGCCGCGGCCCCTGTGCCTCCTCCAGGCCTTGGACCCGGGGCTCCCGAGGAGGTGTGACTCCCCACGTTAACGCGGGCGATCGATGACTAAACGCCTTGCCCCCCCCCTCCCGTCGGTTCTATTCTCAGAGTGGCGCACGCTCGATCAAAACACATTACTCACATTTGGAGTGAGCGGGGGGGGGGGGGGGGGAGAACAATTTACCTCCCCAGGGGGGATGGGTTTTCTAAAACTGTGACACCGATGCGTGCGAAGTGATTTAACGCCGAATTTAACCAATGGCCGCCTTCCTTTTGGCGGAAAAAAAAAAAAGAAACAGCAAAACGGTTTTCTCCCTCTGACAAAAGAGAAAAAAAAAAGGGGCATCTTTTTTCATTTCTCTCCAACCGTCCAATTGGCTTACGGGGGCTGACACCTGCAGATATATTATATATTATATAAACTGGTGATTTAAGGAAGAGACAAAAACTTGAATATGGATGACAGGACGAGGAAAGCACCCAAATATTTTCGCAATCGAAAGGCAGCGGAAAAAAAAACAGACAGACAATTTCCTTCCCTGAAATTGCAGGGTGAGGCCCTGAGGTAACACGTGTATTTTAAGCGTTGGGAACTCGTTTGGTGGCTACCAATGCTGCTGTGGACTGGTTGCCAAGTCCATTGTCAGATCCGATGGCCCACCGAGTATATGGATCTGTTTTGTTTGGGGGGGGGGGGCGTATCAAAGTGAGCCGGAGAGGTGAAGAGCTCGGCTAAAAGTGTGCAAACAGTCCCGAAGTAGGAAGTCTGAATGAAGCTCCTTGGTGCTGACTGACATCATTAAATATCTCCCTGTCTCTACTTTGTTCTTACAGGTATAATCAACCACAAATACGTTCCTGGTCCTTCTCTCAGGCAGTAAGTATAGTGTGCGTGTGTGTGTGTGTGTGTGTGTGTGTGTGTGAGGGGGGGGTCATTCTGTCAAAGAAGTGAACACTCAATCACTTCCGCTCAGGGAAGAGTGACGTGTGCCGTGTGCCTTGTGCAATGTGAGGAATGCCACCGGCTTCGGCCTTGGCAGGAGGAGGTGAAACTGGGAGCCACAATTACAGGCCCATTACATTTCACACACGGTTATGAAAACACACGCTCTTCTTTCTCGCGCTCTCTGCCAGAATAGAACAATGCAGGCGCAGGTATCGTCATGAATCGACTTCACAAAGCGCTTTTCATGGCTCAACAACGTTGTTTCCCTTTTTTTTTTTAAATAGCCCATCCGACTATTAGAGGGATCACCATATCATATCATTTAACATTTTATCTCATTATTGTTGTTGCCTTTATTTACTGTCTGGTAAAGATAATGGATATAATGAACACCGGCACACTGTCAACCATAAGCATGTTAGCATGCAGGCGTTAGCCTTTAGTTCAAAGCAGTTCCTCACAGAGCTGCTAGCGTGGCCTCGTCTTGATTGAAATTGAAATTGAGCCTCTATTGGCTGTGACAGAAGTAGAAAGGAAATGACCTGAGGCATTAACCATGGATCCCTTTGACAGTGGTGACCAGTGCCAGGGAGAGCTGTCAAGTACTACAAGCTAGGACTATTTTATCATTTTTAGCCCTGCACCCCCCCCTTTACACTGTGAGCCATTCCCCTGCAGAATAATAGCCACTCTGTTTGCCCCTCCCCCCCTCCACTAATTTCTCTCGGTCACACACACATTTTAAGGGGGTCGGTATTGGTGCGGGGGGGGGGGGGAGAGAAAGAATCAAGTACCGTGCCATGCTCAGCATGGATCAGATTGGAGATTGGCCGGCTACAATGGTGTGACTAAATTGGCATCCCGTGAATCCTTCGGGTCTTTTGACGTGAGTCGCAGGCAAAGTGACCTCACTTCCACCCAAACACAGCTTCAGCCAAATGCCCTTTAAACCCGCCTTAAAGGGGTTTTTTCTCCCCTCCTCACAGGGAACGAGAAGAGGAAAACAGACTGAAAGTTAATGGTGTTCAAAGCCTTCAATTGATCCAACATGTTTAAATGAAATGTCAAAGGGGGAGCTTTTTTTGTGGGGGGCGGTGGGGGGGACAAGGGAGTTCCTTGAACGGTGGGGTAAAAAATATGTGGGTGGGGGGCATAGAGGAAGCTACAGTGTGAGAATTTGAGGGAAATAATGGGGGTTGGGGAGCGTGGGAGGGTGTCCCCACTTGCTGCAGTACAATGACAAGTGGAAAGAGAAAAGAGGCCCTCGTCCATTTAAGCAGAAATGAAATGGAGACCACAATAACGCGGGGTTCAAGAATGTGTCTGCGGCTGGTTTACCGCCTTCCCAGCGCAGGCCGACCTTGAGCTGGAACATCGTCGGCACGGACACAGATCACCGATGTTATGACTGCAAACCGAAGCCTCCCAGAGCCAAGAGCGGCTTAAGGTGAAGCAAATTTAAAAAAAAGGGAAAAATGTTTTGTAACATCCATTTCCATGCGATCTCATTACGACTCTTAAACTATTAACTAATCAGTTCTAATGATGGGTTGCGCTGGGATTGGCACATTCAGGCACTGTAATTAGTGACACCACTCTTTTGCAGATGTGTTTTTAATCCATCAAATACGTTTCCTGATCATTAGAGCTCAGCAGAAGCTTCAACTTTCTTTCTGAAGAGTAAAATAAAACGTTAAGCCTCACTTCATTCGCCACTGCATTCGTTATTGCTTACTGCCATTGTTTTGGTGGATCAAAATGATTTTACACAGCGGTAAACTAGCGACACCTAGCGGCCATACTGGGGAAGGGCGAGCATTTACCGGCATCAAGTATTCATTTAATTTGAATACACGATGCAACAATACCGTTGATTCATTTAAAAAAAAAAAAAATTAGGAAGTGACCCTACAGTTTCTAGCTTGGGTGTCGGCCTTTTTTTTTCTTTTTTTTACCTGAAACTGGGTGACACCCAAAGAGGCCCCGAACGCACCTGAAACCAGCCGGACTTCCGTTGTCTTTTGCCGACATGCTCACTGAAGTTTGGTCCGACTTCGAGCGGCGCTTACGGTGCAGCCTTCAGTCGTTCAGGTCGTGGTGGCAGGTACGGCAACATTCTACCTTTGTTAAACATGTGTGACGTTTTTATTGGAAAAACGTCACACTGGAACAACCACGCGCTGCGCGTGGCGCCAACCGACCAGACAACCGGGTGATTAAAAGGGATTTATTATTGTTTATTCAGTTAATTTTTTACTTTTATATCATCTGGCTTAATTTAATTGGCAACCGTTGGAGTGGTTGAATTACATATTTATTTATTGAATGGTTACTAGTAGATATAGTTAAGTCATTTTGACATTAAAATGAAAAGGTTTCTTAAAATAAGCCTTCAATGCAACGGAGACGTTCTAAACACACCTTTTACACATGTTTAGCATTGTATCTATTTCTTTTGCATTGTCATTTGCTGGAGTACACACTCACACACTAAACGTGAACTTCTATTCTGACCATTGTGGGCTTGCAGCTATTTTTTTATTTACACAATTCGGTGCAGATAGTATGTTGTGTTCCGATAATTAACTGCCAATCGACCTGAGTGAAGCGCACAATAGTTTGTTTGTTCTCTCGTTACAATATGGATCTCAAAGCTAATGTAAAATTCTGGGTAACCTTTCACGTCTGCAAAAAAACCCAACAACTTTGTTTTAGTTGAACACGCACATCCTGAGAGTCAGGCTTGCACTGTGGTTCATGTGGTGGTTGTCGTATGGCTCCCACAGGCAGTCGCTTCACTCAAACGCCCGGAAACGAGCGTTGTGCAACGCAGTGACACTCAGTGTCACGCAGTGTACAGATGTGTCAAACGATTGTCTGTCATCGTGTGAATTTTTAGATTAAAATAGGGAACGGACTCTAAGGGGGGGGATCAGTGAGGATTTTGAGGGGCCAGGTAGGAGTCTCACCCCCCGTCTTTTGGGGCTGAATGCGAACAAATGCGTGCTGGACTTGACCTCAAGACCCCGGGGACAGTGACCTGGGGGCAGTTTTTCTTTTTGCAAGTTTAGCACTCAATCTGACACATGTCATAGTTGTGAGGGGTGAGGTGTTTTTTTGTGATATTTTGCTGTATTGTATCATGTTTGGTAAGTGGTCGATGTCTGTTTGTGATTTTTCCTTTTGTCCCTCTCAGGCAGCGTTACAACTGACAAAAAAGGAACTTAAGCAAACAGGAAGTTAGTCCATAATGTGCTTTCTTAATTTCTTGCATGTCATTTAGCTTTTTTTTGACACTGCCAAAAAAAAGCCATTTATTTGAAGTGCGATGCCACAAAAGGAGCTTTTTAATCACCGATACTGTGCCGTAGTCTGGATTCTACTGTAGGTGCGTATGTGTCAGGGGCTGAGATTCTGACAGTGACACTTCAGCTGTGAGTCACTGCTGTTCATCAGCATTTATTAATCTGTCTTCGTTCTGTGTGGCCACTTCAACATGTCTTTTTCCACTCACTTTCAATTCACATTTCTGTGTCTGTTTCTTTTTCCTTTAAAAACCTTGCGAAACCACGTCTTTGCTGGACATCACTTCCTCTGGCCTCACGTGGGACCAAAGCTCTGCTCCTCGGTCACTAACAGCGTGAACCAGCATATCATCAGGTGTATCTTTTTATTGTCTTTCCACAGGCTGCCTTCCCCATATCGGTGCCCCCATCTATGTCTGGCGATGACTACAACCCTGTGAGTGTTTCTTCCTTGTTCTCACCGGCAATTAAATAGAAACCCTAAACAACCTCCACTTCTCCTATTTCCTAAATGTTTATAGCAACAAACAAGCGTCCACGCTCCACTGAGCGTTTTTGGATTCTCTCGTCGTGGTGTTTTACATTCAATTTGAGGGTTAAGTAAAAAAAACAAAAAAAAACAAGCAGAGGCCAGACGAGTCACAGATGAGGATGTTGTAGAGCGGCGGGGGGGTGCGCTTGTGTGCGTGCGGGGAGATAAGAGAGAACGGCGGCGACAAAGCGCACGTGACAGGATGTTTCCGCGAAGCTTCTCCTCCTTCGCTGTGGGGGCCCTGACACTGATCTGTCTCGGGTGCGTCTCTCCAGTCTGACGTTTGCCTCCTCTGCTCTGCTTCCCCCGAAGGTCTCCCTCCGCAACAAATCCAAGAGGAAGACTCGAGGAGGTAGGTCTCCACCCCCCCAACCCACCTCCCCGGTGCTGTTGTCGCTTTGTCTCACTGCGGGGGGCCCCTACACTGTAATTTGGCCCCTCCACTGTAATTTGTCCCCTCTGTGGGCGTGTGTGATCTCTGTGCCGACTCTTCATGTTTTTATGCCCTCTGTCTTCTGGCTGATTCATACGTGGAACAGGTAGGCGGGACGCGGCTTTGCACATTCAAATCAAGGCTGTTGTTGGGTTTTTTTTTTTCTTCTTTCTTTTACGGTCTCTGCAAGCAGTCTGCTCGCTCCAGTGCGATACTCGCGTTTTAATCGTGGCTTTGTTTCTCCGCGGACAAAAGGGAGGCGGGGGGTTCACGGTGCATTCATGTGCATGCCGTCGTTTTCGTCCTTGCGCAGGCGATGGCACAATGAGCCGGAGACGGATCTCGGTCAAAGAGCTCGGCGCCCCGGACCACCAGGGCTGGTTGTACAGGAAGAAAGAGAGCAAAGGCTTCCTGGGCATCAAATGGAAGAAGTACTGGTTCGTGCTGAAGAAGACGGCTCTCTACTGGTACACCAACCAGCTGGTGAGTGAGACCCCCCCCCCCCCGCCCCACCCGCTTCAGCGTTTACGAGACGCTGTTTGCAGAAACGCCAGTCAGCAACTCTTGTTCCTCAAAGCACACAGGATTACCAGGGTAAAGGTTTCCCTCTCGAATCCGCTCCAAGCTCTCCGTCTCTCTGTTAAGCTCTGCTTCATTGACTACTTTGACTCTTTCAAAGAACCGAGCTGGAGGCCTTTTGTTTGGTCTCTCAATACTCTCGGCAAACATCACTCAAACGGGATTTCATTTAATTTACATTAGAGGATTCATTTATCTTTTTCTCATGCACTTGTTAGTCAAGCGGATGGCAGAGTTGGCAGATGAGTCATGTTTGTTTCTTCCCCAGCTGTAACTTGCATAACTTAACCGACGTCCTCGACGGCATCCAACCCGATCTGCTTCGGAAAATAGAAGAAGTCGTCCTGCTGCAATGCAAAAGGGCAGGTGTCCTCGTCAGGAAGTGGTTTGGTCTCATCCGCTGTTCAATCTGTGTGTTGCAGGCGGAGAAGGCTGAGGGCTACATTGACCTCACCAACTTCATGATTGACAGAGCCATCGAGTGCAAGAAGAAACAGTAAGCCGGCGGTTCAGTACCTGGAAGCAGAGAATGAACCGTATATTTATTTATCTATTGTGGCAGCTTGAATAGAATAGAAAGTTTACTCTCATACAGTAATAGGAAGTGCACGGTCAAGCAACCCGAAAACGATGAAGAACTAAAACCTGTGTGGTTAACTGCCAGTGTACATAAATTCCAGTGGAAAGTTATTTTTCACCCCGTCACAAGCTGCTCTCCGTGTGCTTCTCCCCCCCCATGCAGTGCGTTCAAAGCTTGCCACCCACACGTCCTGATGTTTTACTTTGCGGCCGAGACCCACGAGGATATGAACTTGTAAGCCTTACCTCATTCAATGCAATTGTTTTTAGAAAAATGTAGTTTTTTTGCAGAATGTTAATGCATATTTTGTTTTTTTTTGTTGCAGATGGTTGAATAAGCTCGGGCTGGCCTCCATTAAATACCAGCCAATAGATCAAAACGCCGCAGTGGGTGAGCAAACCCTTTCAACTGCTCTCAACCTTTTCAAACCTTTTTTGTGATTCAATCACATAATAATCAACCCTAATCTAAATGTTTTTCACCGGAATCTACGTGTCGTGTTATGAAGTCTGACTTTGTGTGTCTTTTGTCTGTCCCGCGCAGAGTGTTACAGTGAGGCCAGTGACCATGAAGAAGCTGAAAGCACAGAGATTCCCCCTCCCCCGTACTGTGAACAAACCCTGCGGGACTCCGTGGATGCCTCCGGTCCGCCAGGATCCTCTCATCAGGTCGGACACGTCTCCCGTTGGTTGTGCATTTTGGAGCCGACTGTTTCATTTTGAAGGCATATGGATTTTATTGCTACGGTACATTATGTCTGACGGCAGTGTTATTTGTATTTCAGGATACCCTTCCTCCCCCCTACTCGTCCGCGGTCCCCAGCGAAGCTAACGGTTCGTTCTCGTCGCCCGTCAGTACAATGACATCACAGAGCTCCACCTCGTCGCTCGCCAAGCAGCGGCAGTCCTGGTTGGACCTGGTGTCGCAGGCGGCCCCTCCCAGCGCAGAGGCCGCAGCGGCGGTGTGCTCCGTTCAAGTGCACTTGCATACACCTCCGCGGTCGGGGGCGGGACACGGGGATGAACCCCAGATGCTTGGGAGCTCGTCTCATTTGGGCCCCTCTGGGATGGGGTCCGATGAAGAAAGCCCCGCGGCACAGGGGGAGGCGCAGGCGGCGGTGTTGGGCGCTGAAAGCGAGGGTGAGACTTTATTCTACTCCTAGAATTGGTTTGGTTATTTTTATTGTCCAAAAATGTGTGTGTTTTTTTTTTTTTTTATTCTTTTCAGTGGACTTGCATTTAAAATACTTTCAGTTTTATCACTTTCGCTTGTGTAAAAACATGCGAGCGGAGATGTTTCTCACGCATTCGGCTCTGCAGCACTGATGCATTGTTGATCTGGCACCAGAGATATGTTTTTACAGTCTGTAGCTGTGTCTGAAAGTCGCTAGGCTGCATCCTTGTAGCCTGCAGCCTTCGCGGTAGATCTGGTCCGCCAACAACCGCACAGGCTGAACCGAGCGCTCTGGCCTACGGGGGGACTTCCTGCTTGAGTCATCAGCTTTACCTCCGCTGCTCTTGTTGCCTAGCAACCTGCTGCCATTGACAGTAAAAGTACAGAAAAAGAAGATAGTCTTATTTCATTGAATTTAGGAAGAAACGCTTCTCCTGCATGATGTATTTCAGGCCGAGAGAAGAACACAACTGAATGTAAAGTTAATTTATGATCACACAACAAAACAAGGAGCAAAGTGCTTTGTGTATTTATTCTGTAACGTTACTTAGAAAGTGATAGTTCAGGTTCATAACTTCACTAATAACTACGAGCCGACGAACGGGACGGGGGGAGTCGCAGCGGAAGTGACGTACGCGGGCGACGGATGCGTCCTTACGGATGCGTCCTTAAGGATGCGTCCCTAAGGATGCAGCGTGGCGACTTTGAGACACAGCCAGTCTGACTTGAAGTGTTCATACCTGTAGAACTTTCAGTTACTCAGTCCAATATTAGTGATGGCAGTTGAACCTCATTGCAGGGGATAGTGTCAACGGCTCAGATGAGATGGAGAAGCTTTACATTCACCTCAAGGAGGCCAGCCTCTCCCCACTAGGAGATCGGAAACCATCTACGAAGAGGGAATTCAGGGCGTCCTTTGTAAAACGCTGAAAAAACCACGCCGTCAACGATAAACTTCACTTCATCAGGACTCTCAACAGCACGTTAAAGGTACGTTTTCAGTTTCATAATCGTACTTTTATATATCACACCATTACGGGGGGGGGGGGGGGGTGTGTAAGCTCTGTGTGATCATTTGGAGAGCTACGTGCAATGGTGCAATTTCCTTTAATAAATATTAATTAGATTTTCTTTACTCCCGTGTTTTCCGGCACAGTCAAAAGAGGCGGACCTCCAGGCGATAGATCATTTGCTGTCGGAACCGGGGCTCACCTCAGGAATGTTCAGAGAGTGGAAGGACAACAATGTGCCTTTGGTGCAGGACATCTGTCTCAAACTGGACCAGCAGGTGGCGTCGGAGGCCACACAAGCTGCAGCATCAGTCATTGCTGCTCCAGTGGTGGAGACCAGTTTATAAAGACTCCTCCTGGCTGGTTTTACTGGGTCTGGACTCGGGAGGACTTCACACATTTAGGAGCCATGCACACACTGCTGTTTTCAATTGAGACTACTGTTCCGTATCAGCAGACATTAAATACTAATAGACAAGTAACTGGATCAATGAAGAAGTGTTTATTTTTTAAGTTCCTAAATGTATATAATGCAGGTATTTACATTATTAGCAGATGACATTAAAATGTGAAATGTGTCATAGTGTTACTTTTACTGCATATTTGACGGATTATTGTTTTTAGGTTGTAATTTCCATGATGCTATTCATGCATTGTTTTACTATTTGGAATGATGGTGTACATTGTGATAATGAAGCCATTGTTCCCCGCATGGGGAGACTTGTTTTTACAGTATGTTTTATGCTTTGATTTCATCAGTGGTGAACCAATTTGAAGTGTTACTGTTCAGTCAATTATTGGTGCCATGTACCATCACTGCCTGATACACATGTTTTATATTTTGAATGGTAAATGTTGTTTGCCCTAGAAATGATGTCATCATACTTGAACACCAGGGTCTGCGCTAATTGAATAAATGTTGGTCACAAGTCGGGATGATTTCAATTTTTAAAAGTTATCGTAGAAAATGCTATGAAATGGCTACATTTGCATTCCACTTAACCAAAACAAACCATTTTAAAAATGGAGAATTCCAACCTACGCAGCATTAACAGTCCCATGCAACTTAATATTGTATTGCAAACGTGGTAAAGACTTAACTGCCAACCAGTGCTGTGTGCAGTCTATTGGGAATTGAGGCTGGCTGTAGCACTTTGCATTTAAACATGATGCATGGTGTAATTCTCAGGAAGACGAATACGTGTCATATATTCTGTAAGGGCCAAACCACCACAATCCAGTCCAGCAAACCCATCCTGCACTGATTACACATGGGAACGTCATTCAGACATCAGGTGTGATGCATATTATCCCAACAACAACAACAACAGGTAATGGAAGGTGCAACAAAGATGTAGTTTACTCTGGGTTTTGTTGGATATGTTGTTCCTGCTAAACATGACGTCTGTGTAAATAAACGTACAGTTTGTGTACTGTAATTTATATTGATGGTGTGACAGTTCGTGTGTTTGTATACAGTGAAATAAAGTGTTATTACAATAACAAACATGCTCAACTTTATCTAAGCCTTCTAATGGCACCGCTGGCGCTTGTGTGTTTTGTTATTTTGAGGCCCAAGCAAAAGGCGCACTAGTAGTGTCCCGAAACTGGCGCTAGGAGTCGTTGCTCTGTGCAGATTTCGTGTTGGGGTTATGCGCCATATTGGCAGTCTCCTCCATCTCACCAAGCGTCGAGCATGCATGCCTCTAACCGGTTATTGAGGAGAAATCTGTAAATATTTACAGTCACCTGCGAGCGACACCATGGAGGCCGTCAAAGCCTTCAACAATGAGGTTTGTTGGAAACCATCGCACCGCTCGGAGCCCATTGAGATTACAATAAATGGTGTCTTATACGCCTTTTCGGTAGCTGGTATGCTAACGTTAGCATCTAGCCGCGGAGAGGGGGGTAGCCTCACGCAAGGCCGCTGTTTGTGCACAACAATACGGCGATTGCATTGACGTTGTTCGCTGGCTAATTAAACCGGACCCCACTGACTACAGTTATGAGGATAATGTGGTTATTGACACACACCGTGCGCAAGTTGCCAGTAAATGAGGCGATATCTCCCACGGACTAATTTAACGTTATTCCCCTACGGTAACGGTTAACCCCACTGCTAACGTTAGCTACAAGTTAGCAACACCGCCTCAGTCGTGCGGTAACTTGGTGAGCTAACGTTAACTAGCATTAAGTTACCGCTGTGTGGACGTGGGGGGGGGGGGGCTCACAGTCACACTGCTCCCCTTTTAGCCAGAAATTAATTGCCATGTTACGTTTGACCAAATACGTTTAATACACAATGTGGATAACCAGGTTGGTTCACAGCTACAGCACCGAGGGACGTTTGGTCACGTCAGGTTAACATTAGCATTAGCCACCCAGCTAACTATGCTAGCGCATCTCATTTGTGTGCATTGACACTGATGTTTGTCTCCGGGTGCCAACGCTTAACTCAACACCCACTCGTAGTTATTATTCAAAGGTAACACGACTCGGATAAACGCAATTACATCGCGGACGGTTATTTCAATAGTGCCAAAATAAACAAATACACCATCTCATGATGAACAAGATGAAGGTTTTGCGGTGGATGATGCTCTCTAGAGGGTTGCTTGTTATAACGCTTACATGGTCATTGACGTTATGTTCCAGTAGTTAATTACGTGTTATGACAGCGTGTGTTTCTGTTACTTTCCAGCTGTACTCATTAAATGAGTACAAGCCACCCATCTCCAAGGCCAAGATGACCCAGATCACCAAGTCTGGAATCAAAGCTATAAAAGTAAGTATGTAGTGTTAAAGCTCGAGGCAGGTAACGGGGAGTAAAGCAATAGGGTTAGTTAACGAAAGACAAATCTCTTCAACTCGCCAAAATATTTGCTTAACCATCGAGGTAGTACGGTTTTTCTAGGTTTTTTTGGTTTTAAAACTTTTGTAAAATTAGTCAAAACAAGCAAGTCAACTTCCGATCTTGAACATTTTAGTCGTTAAAGGTGTTTTTCATTGCGAAATAACTGGACTATAACATAAATAATAGGTCTGGACTTCTATTTCCAATATAAAACTTTTTCTTTAAACCTGAACTAAATATAATATTTCCATGGATTAATAAGACACTTCCTTACATACAACTAAGTACTACTTTATTAACTGAGGGCCAACTTGTGGTTTGATCAATTAAAATAAATAATAAACTCAAGCTAACCTGGCTACAAATATAGAAACGCAAATGTGATCTTACAACAACATTGAATTATTATGTCAGTGTCAATATGCCAGTTTTTTACTTTTGAACCAGCTGTTAGACGCAATATCAGCTCAGATTAATTTTGGATTTTTACATCTTTATACCCTTGTGAATACCGGTGTAAAATACATTTATAAAATCAATTGCTTTTTTGGGGGGGGGCTCCAAACTAAAATCAATTGCTTTTTTTGGGGGGGGGGCTCCAAACTAAGGCAGACAGTGAGAGGGTTAACATGCAAGCCCAAACATGTAAGCATGATGCACACCGGTCCATGTTTTATCACTTATCAAATTTCCATATATTTTACCATACGATGGATAAATACTGCTTATGTTGGCGGTGAAAACGGGTTTGAGGTATTAACGTAGAGGTTTGCAGCAGGATTGAGATACTTGAGGAATCCACCTTTCGTGGTTTGGGGCCAAATTGAGTGTTTAAAAAAACTGGTGCTTATGTGTGTTTTTTATTAGCAGTTTTGTGATTTCATGTAAAAATCTGACATCTGATACAACAGTCAATCTGCATAACACAAGGAACTATTCTAAGTCATTTCTTTCCGGGTCTTTTAGTATTGAGATGAAGGGATCTATTTATTTTAGGTTGGATTACTGTCTCACCCTAAACATGCCGGTTTTCATTATTGTTAAAATGGGATTCAAATTTAAATCAAATTATATTATCAACTAATGTTTGCAAAATATTATTAATTACTGCTTCAAGCTAAAAAGGGGAATAATTGCACAACAGCTGTAATGACGGCACCTTCGGTCCATAAATGAGAAACTTACCTCTCAGCTGTGCTCTCTTGATCACAACTTAACGAATGAGTCTTACTTAATAAACCGGCTGCTTCGCCGTCTTTTGCAGCGCTGCGTTTCTTGATGCCTGTTAGAACATTGCTCACTGGACGTAATATGCAAACATAGATATTTTAATAATTGGAACCCGTGTGCTTTTGAAGATAAAATTATTTTTTTAGGACAAAACCCTGTCAGCCGCTCTATAAATTCAGCTTCACGTATGAAACAAGGGGCCCTTCACAACAGACATTGTGACTTTTCATTGTGAGAAAAGCTCTGATGTCTCTAATAGCACAAACCAAATGACTTAAAGTGTCCAACCAAGTGAGGACAGGACGTGCTGTCTGCATGCACAATACAAGGGCCCCCGAGGCCATCGTTGCTTCCTTCTTCTGTTCGAGTGAACGCGACACTTTCGAGCTGCTTCTTTTAAACCAGGTGCTCAGATTGAGCGTAGATTGGGGTATTTTCATCGACTCCGTTGTCAAGACGCCGGCGTGAGACACAAATACACACAGTCAGGAACTTGACCCACAACAACGGATGAGGCGTAGCATATCATAACGCGACGGATCGTCTGTAGGCGCACCATTTTTTCTGATAGGCCCACGTACTAAGAGGAATTATCCCCTCACGCGTTTTCACTCAAACATTCAAATGACGTTTTCTGGCCCCGTTCTGTAATTCTGCTATAGAGATGCTGTGGACATCTAAGCACGAGTCCAGGACACCAGCCCTTCGCCCCCTCTGGCGGTGCCCTGTTCCCTCATCCCGTTTGCGCTCTTGTCTCTGAAGGATCTGCTGTGCTTGTGCTGTTGCTGCGCCTCATGTTGCACGACAATAACTCCCGTTTCCCCTTCCCTCAGCAGCTCCCCCAGCTCCCCCAGAGCACTGAAAGGGAGGCAGGAGGATGGGGTGGAGAGAGTTACACAGAGATAAGAGAATCCCTTACCAGCTTAGGTAGGAGTAACGGGTTGTTTCACGAAGAACGTGGAAGAAGACTTTTTTTTGTTTGTTGCTGTTTCGCTTGTTCGGTGTTGGCTTCTTGCTCCTGAAGGTGTGATGGCGATGTCTTGCTTCGCGCTGAATATCGCTGGTGTTCGATCCGTCATTGGCTGATGTGATGCAGGAGCTATGCGGACGCGCCGCAATAATGTCACAATACGGAGGCTGAGCAGAGTCTCAGTCGTTGGAAGACGTTGAGGAGAAAGCCTGAGTTGGTGTCGTGTTTATCGTCTTGGGGATTTCTTTCCCCCGGGTGCTGTCTGTCTCCCAGAGGTTAAACCCCGAGTGTTTGTTTCAACAGAGCAGCAGTGATTCCCAATGTGTTTTTTCTTCCGTCGGCACATATGTTGAGAAAAGGACCGTTTCGAATCTGCTGATGCTGTTTCTGTATTTTTTATGTATTTAAGTCACTGTTTCAAGTGCTGATTTTATAAACAAATAATTTATTTTATAAATTAATTTACAGCTTTACCTTTATCCACCTCTTACCATGCTCTGCTCTACTACAATTAACGGCACACTGGGTTTATGCGCTGTACATTTTGGCCGAGGACATTTAACTACACTTTGAATATTGCTAATTTTATTTAACAATATCAGTTATTAGTAAAGTTTCTTTGTAGGTTCAGATTATTTACTACAATATAAATCAACTGATACACTATGATGTATTCTTAATCATCAGGTGTATCCCAAGACACCTAAATATACCCGACACAGACAGTTTTAGGTAATTAATGTGAAATGATTTGCTACAATGTCCCTTGGCGTTTTGTCTGCTTTGCTCTAAAGGTCTTCTATTGAAAGAGAATACACTCTTTTCATTGGCCGATAAATCATATTATACAAAAATAGGCATCACGGTGAGGTTATACCACATGCTAAAGTGTGATATGACTCATGGTAGGAAATGTCCTTTATTGTTGCACCTCAGATGTGGTCCTATTATTTTTGCGCGCTGAGGCTCCGGCCTAAATTCTTCTCATCTTCTTCTCTGTCCTGCAGTCCTGAGTGGTGAAATCGTATTTGGATCGTTTCATATTTGTGATTTGTACTTGTTGCTCCCCGAGTAGTTTGTGCGTTTTGTGCATTTAAGGCCACAAGTGGATTTTATAACAGTCAGTCTCACTTTGTATTCATGCTCTGATAGTGAGATAATGCGATCATTCATCATGAGCTCATCGAGGATCGATTGTGTCTTTTTTAGAGGAACTTCCCCCACTTGATAAATCTACCACAATGTGTCCATCAAACTCCGCATTTTATTGTTTAATTTAAAATAAACAATATCCCCAAGTAACTTGAAAGACGATGCTTGTGATACACTGACAGAAACTCTGTGATCGCAGCTCTCATTTATGTTCAATTGTATTCCGCCAATTATTACAC